GATCACAAGCGACGCTAAGATGCTTGCAGAACGAGTGCTAAACACAGACTGATGTAGCAAGTGCACAATCCGGGACTTCCCCTCTCGTCACTTGTTATGTGAAACGTCGCTCATTAAGCGAGTCATTTTTTTACAATTTGTTTTTCTCATTATGCAAATTACTCATTATGAGAGGTGCTTGTTAAGCGAGATTCCACTGTATCACTGTACTTTCAGTATTCTGCTATAAATCATACAGTTGTCTGAAACATTTCTGAAAGTCCTCATATATAATCTTCTGCAAAGCAATCTTCATAGTCACTTGAACCTCTTACAGCATACTTTATTTGACAGCCCGTGAACCATGGAACAAGACAAAACTGCATGGTGCAGAATCAACACAGTAAGATGGAAGGGGAAGCATCGGTGTACCACGTCCGATTAGTTACTAACGCATAAGCAACAACTGAAATGCATGGCTGTTTCAAGTGAATTATTTCCTGTGGACCACAGCACTCTCAGGCATAAACAATGCACTGTTAACTGAAAACATCTACCACCATAACTTTCCTCCTAAGCTGCTGGAGCTTAATGGCCATAAGTGATGATACTGACTTCCAAATGGAGGACTGTCATTTACTTTGTATACAGTCTACAGGAAACACCAAATTCTGTCAGATTACTGTCCTCTGGACTTACTGGCTCATGGCCGATCCTTATTACTGCCCAAAATTCTGACTTTCTTTACAATTTTCTGTACTGTCTGAAAATGATCAGAGGATACACTCTCCTGTACTTGTCTCAGATGTCTTTGTTCCTTGGTGTTGCAAGCTGTCTGCTATGCGGTTCATCTCAGAACAATTCAAGAGAGCCCATGAACCTGTGATTCCTCTCAAACACCTTGAACTAGGACAATGTTTGTTTGCCACACACCATCTGCAGCATTTCCACTGTCAAAACATGTTAGCCCAATGGTCAAGATGTCTGTTAGTCTAATGGCAACTGAACAATCTGGCTGAATATTCATAAGCAGATTCCAGCCTATCTGCTACAATATCTGTTATCACTTCTGCCCAGAAAATTTTGAGGCTGCCACATATACACAAGGTATAGAAAGGTTTCGATATAAAAAGTGTAGGTAACTTTGTCATGTATTAATTTTTGGGTTTGAAAGAAAAGATTCTCTGGAACCACATTAATAAGCTGATGTTTCTGTAGTAATTAAACTAAATGAATTTTTACAAACACCATTTTCATGTAAATCACTATAACAGCTTGCCATGGAGACTCTCCCTGTCACTTCTTTCTGTCTTCAACAGTCCCAATCTGACTGTCATTTAAATTTATTAGCTGGAAGCACAACTAGTATCATTCAATACAGTGACCTGAATTCTTGTAATTTATGGACATTTATATTGTATTCTAGTGCATTATAAATATTAACATAACAGGAAACATCAAGTTGGAATATAAAATGGCTATTGTGACTGAATTTCATTTTTTTACAGTGAAAAGTAATACTGTAAGTTGATTTGTTTCATTCTGGTCCATCACACTAACAATATTATAAAAGATAAAACAATTCCATCCAGTGTGACTGGTGAAGTTGTTCTTACTTCAATTCTTAACGCCCTTACACGTTTCGGTCCTTAGAGACCATCATCAGAGGGACATCCATACTGTGTGGAAACCACTATTACAATGGGTGTTCTGAATGTTAAAATATATATATTTGTGCATTGTAAACAGTGTATGTACAAGGTGGGGCGCAGAAACTTCATTTTTTTGAAGGCGAATAAAGGAAAAATTATTGCTGATAGACAAAATTTAGGTTTAGCTAAAGAAAGAACATACTTTAAAGTTTTAAATCATGTAGTTTTAAACAAAATATCTTGAAGGTGGTGACCACCATTCTCTATGCACTGATGCAACCGTTTTCTGAAGTTCCCCTCTGCACGTTCCAACATGTGCACTGGAATTTGGTCTACTTCCTGCCGAATAACATTCTTCAGCTGAAGCAGGTTTGTGGGGTGATGTTTAAAAACCTCTGCCTTGAGGTATCCCCATAAAAAAATCACAGGGCGTTAGATCAGGTGAGTGTGCTGCCCACGGGATATCACCTCGAAGTGAGATGAGCCGTCTGGGGAACTTTGCCCTAAAAACTGTCATCGAAGCTCAGGCTGTGTGGGCCATGGCACCATCCTGTTGGAACCAGACATTTCCTAGATGCATTTCTTCAAGAGCTGGTTCGAAAAAGCTTTTAATCATGTCCACATACCGCTGTGAATTGACAGTAACTGCATGATTGTCTTCTTCAAAAAAATAAGGGCCAATAACTCCAACTCTCGACAATGCACACCATACTGTCACCTTATCACTGTGAAGTGGCGCCTC